TTTCGCAAATAGGAGGGTGGTTCGATAAGTACTTAGCCTATAAAAGAAAAACGAAAATTTTGGAAAAGTGGCGTTTTATTTTTCAACATAGTCTCCTTTTAGTTCGATACACTTGGCCTAGCGATGCTCTAACTTCTTTAACCCGTCTGAAAAATACGTTTCCTCAAGGTCTGAAAAGTAGGCTTCCGTGGCAGCGATTACCTTCTCATTCGACTCAAATTTCTGCCCGGCGAGTGACTTTTTCAAGTTTGGAAACAAAAAGAAGTCGCACGGTGCTAAATCTGGAGAATACAGTGGATGGGGCAATAATTCGGCATAGTACAACCCTGTGACCATTTTGCCCCTCTCCAGGTAGTCGATGTAGATCACACCTTGTGAATCCCAGAAAACGGTGGCCATCACCTTTCCGGCCGATGGGTTGGGTTGGGTTGGGTTGGGGCAGTCTTCACCTTCTTCGGAGTACCTTCGCCGGGTAAAGTCCACTGTTTCGACTGTTCCTTGGTCTCTGGTGTATACCAGTGGATCCATGTTTCGTCGACTGTCACGAAACGACGCAGAAACTCCTCCGGATTGAGTTTAAGCAGCGTCAGACATTGCTCTGAAATTGCCTCACGGTTGCGCTTGTTGTCCGGAGTGAGCAAACGCGGCAGCCATCGCGTCGACAGCTTTCTCATGCCCAAAATTTCATGCAGGACATGACCCACGCGGTCTTTTGAGATGCCTACGATCTTAGCTATCTCGCGCACCTTCAATCGTCGATCTGCCAATACGAGATCGTGAATTTTTGTCACGTTATCCTCTGTGGTAGCCGTTTTCGGAGCACCTGGACGTGGCTCTTCAAAAATCGACGTACGACCACGTTGAAACTCGTTAAACCAATTTTTGATGGTCACCATCGAAGGAGAAGAGTTACCATATACAGCATTAAAGCGCTTTTTGATTTTGCTGCACGATTTCCCTTCCAAAAACAAGAATCGAATCACCGACCGATACTGCTCTTTTTCCATTTTTCAAAAATCAACGGACACACTTGCTTTCACACGCTCTCAAAAATAAACTATATCTCCGATCTGGCTGAAATTTTGACAGTAACCATCGAGAAGGTTGTACTACGTGATAGAATATTTCTTTTGCGAGAGTGGCGCCATCGGGCGGTGAGGCTAAATACTTATCGGACCACCCTCGTATATCAGAATGTACTTACTTTCTCAAAAAAAGGAGTTCTTAAAATTTTTTTACTTTTTTGAATGAAAAATAAAATAAAATTTATGTAACTATTTATGAATTCGACTAAATATAAAAAGAATCAGTAATACGCTTCGACTTAATCTAACATGAACAATGGATAAAATAAAAAGTTAAAAGCACTCGCTACTTAGTAATACAATACAGCAAAAATTCAACTGCTATCCTTGAACTTAATGTTTGATATTGATAAGATAAGGGTAAAGTGCTAGAAAAGCTTATAAGAGCATAAGCAGCATAAGGCAGGACTACGGGCGACGTTGTTACATTATGTACGAATAACGTTCAAAATAAAACAAAAGTACCAATATTTGAAAAAGGTTCAAAAGTCGCTCCCAGCTTCTCTTGGAACGTCTGTCTCTCCTCTGCACTACTGCGGAAGCGCATGAGGAGCACTCCATCCTTTGTTTTCCGATATCCGGAGATGCTTACTTTTGAGCACTCGGGATTAATCTCGGTTTTCAGCCGGCGCAGAGTGTCGGCGTACGTCTGTCCGTCCCATGACTTCACCAAGATAACGTTGCCCCTCCTTTTCGGGGAGGGCCAACCACCCTGGGGCGAGTATTTTCTGTCCAGTTCGTCTGCGCGGTTATCGCCGTCATCGAAGTTGGTGGTCGCTTCGTAGCGGCGTTCATCGTTTGTCTGGTCAGGGTCATCGTTGCAATAGTTAGTCGGCTTTTTCGTCCTCTTTTGGAGGATGGAACCCACTCCTATCCGTCCGCTCTTCTTTAATAGGTAGCGGCTTGCTCAGGCGCTGGTCGTTTCCCTCTTCCTTTTCTGTCTATTTATCGTTTCGTTAAAGCATTTTCCAGGAGGGGCTTCAAGCGGTCGCATTCACTCCATATGCGATCTCTACTACCTCCTTTATAACATTCATTCCTGTCGTTATAACTGTTCTGATGTTTCTCTGGATCTTCGTTTGGGCCTCTATCCTTTCGAGCACCGAATTAATACGTCTGAGCTGCGGTCGAACAAGCTGGAGGCTTTCCGTCGTCTGTCCGTTGTCCGCGGTCGTATATAAATAACAGTATTAACCCATTATTACCCATGCAAAATCCAGGCTAGATCTATACTAAACTAATCATTGGATCCTGTCAAAATAGAAGAAAATTTATCCTTGTATTTTCTTTTTGCGATTCTAATTATTTATGTGAAATGATTACAACAAATTAAAAAAAAATTTCTGTTAGATTCTATTTTGTTAGTAAATTATCGTTGTATAATAAAATATTCAACATTATTTAAAAATCAAGATTTCATTCTAACCAAATCATGATCTTAATCTAATTTAGACATGATTTTTTAAGTGATCGGTTTGGTTCAGGTTACAGATTACATATATACAAGAAAATTCAAAAAAGGTTTTCTACTTATTTTTTTCGCGTTGGATCGATTGGTATGATCAGTTTTTTTAAAGGACCCCGCACTAACCTTAAGGAAATTGGCCCTTGAATTTTCTTATAATATAGATTTTGATGTCATAAACGAAAGTCCCAATGGGCACAAATTCTAGAAATTAACGGTTATTGAAAAAAAACTGATTAAATTCTCTTATTTTAGGCTTTCGACGGAGGTTATGGTTGACAGGTAAAAAAAATAAAATTTGCTTTTGAATGCTCCGGTACGAAGAATAACAATTAATATATTCGTTGCTTGCTCGAGTATTAATTGCGGCTAGCTCGGCTTTCCGTGTGCTGGGCCATAGGATTGGCGTTCCAAGACATTATTAAAATATTTCATTATCATTATTAAAACAATTATATATAATAAATTAATTGTTAATTATGTGAAATAAAAATAATAATTTATTGTGGAGACGCGCTGCTAAGTTAATGATTACAGACCCTGGAAGGCATTAAACTATATATGAGTGTAGCGCTTCGTAATCAACAATTACACGTAAGATTTCATTCATTGCGATATAATGGTTGCTACCTTTTTTCAAACCAGACATCTATCTATAACTTCTTTTACTAATAATATAAACGATTGCCGCGGATCAGTTTTCAACCGTTGATAAGAGCTCCGGATATTTTTTTATCGTCGATTAACGTTCTAGAGTATTTTTTAATCTTTGATAATTACTTTCGAGTAGTTTTTAATAAAAGATAATTATCCTGAAGTAGTTTTCAATCACCACGAGCATATTCTACGGCAAAAATAAGTAGCAGTATTATCAACGTCTCTTCTTATTTACGTCTAGACTTACGTTCATTTTTTTGTAAACAAATGGACCAAGAATAAGATTGAATACGTAAGTAGCGAGAATTACGAGTTAATCTAGACAAAGCCAATCTGCAAGGCAATCAATATCGATAGTTTGTGCTTATTTAAGAACGCAATACGATTGTTTTATTATAAAACTGTATCGCCATCACTATTCTATCGTTACGCAAGCTCATTAGAAAATATGTTAGAGAGCTTGCGAATCATGTCTGGCAGTACTTGATGATGATGAATAATTTTTTAAACAATGGGAAAAATACCAGTCTTTGAAATTTAGCTAAAAGTGCGAAGGTGTTTATTAAATATCGCATGATGAGTGTGCAACTCTTTACAGCAATTGATCTTCCCGATTATTTTTCCATTGACATTATAAACATCTATTAGGCGAAAAAGCCACACGTTTGGATTACTAACGAGTGTTGCTTGTTCACTGAGATACTCTGAAGAGCATAAAATAAAGTACTTATGATCTCCGAAAATTAGCATCGGCTGCATTTTTTTTGTGATGAAATGAGCCGCTTATTTTGAAAGTTTTGCGTTAGAATGAATTTAAAAATATACGTATAAGATACTAAGAAGTCATACTGCTTAAGCGTATCTAAGGATGTTAAATTTAAAGTCCCTGTTAAAATAGTGGCAATTATTAAGTAAATAACGTGCGTTTTCTTATCAAGAATGGAGTTGGGCCACTTTCGAAATTAACAGCCAGATTCATTCTAAAATTTGAAGGTGCCCAAGTCCATTTAACATAATTTAAGATGTTTTAAATTGAAAAAAAAGAATACGGAATTTGTTTTGCATATGTTGAAAACACTTTGGAAACATAATTTATGCGATTCAAAACATTTTTTAATTACAGAACATAGAAAAGTACAAACATAAATTTTTGTTGTGTATTAATACAAATTAATACACAACTATATGTACGACATTTATTAAATAAACCTTTCTGAAGTCGGTAACAGATCCGCTGATAAAGCGTTAAGCTTGAAAAAGTTGACAACATCTAACTTGTATTTCATTTGATTAATCTACATTGATCGATAAACACAAGATTACACATAAACATGGAAAGCCAATCTTTAAATCTGAATATAACTAGTAATAGAGAATAATAATTTTTTATAGTTTAAAATCTGTAAATATTTCTCATTCTTTTCCTCGTGAATATCTCAAAGTTACAAAACATTTTTATATTTCTCTTTTATTAAATAAAAAATCTGAAAATCGCAATAAATTGAAATTCTGCAAATTTGATCTCAAGTTTTTACTCTTTAAATTTCAATGTTAGAAATACTACCTGTAACCTTGATTCTTTTATCAGAAGATTTTGATGTAAGATGGATGTTAAAGATTTTTTTCAGAATTATTAATCCCATAACGCGTTAATCATTATATCGAATTCGTTAGAAGTCTTTACTTTGATTACTAGTATCTTTGGTAGGGTAATAATTAATTTTATTTGTACAGTGGATTAATCTTGCCCATGATAATGTAAAATTATTTTTTGTATACCTTTGATTTTTTAGGATGCAAGAAAAAATGCTTGCGACACCACTCTTGTTCAAGCAACAACTAGCATGGAACCAATTGGGCGGATACAAATGCGTACGAGACGTACCCTACGAGGTCATTTAGCCAAAATATATGCCATGCACTGGGGAAGTGATTCCAGGTATGACGATAAGTTTATGTATAGATGACTAGAAATATGTATAGGTATACAAATGTATAATACAAAAAATTTTTTCCATACACAAAGATTTGAAAATATCAAATATTTTAATAAAATAAAATATACTTTTGATTGTCAATAAAGTACATATTCCCATAGGCAATAAATTTCGAAATACTACCTGAGAAAGATATTAATGAGTTTATGGTTATTATTCATTTATTCAGTTACTCAAAATATAATATTCCTACGTGACTTTAATCTGTAAAAATTCAAATAATGAGCTTACAATATATCAAAACTTGTTCGGGGTGTACGAGGGTGGTCCGATAAGTACTTAGCCTCACCGCCCGATGGCGCCACTCTCGCAAAAGAAATATTCTATCACGTAGTACAACCTTCTCGATGGTTACTGTCAAGATTTTAGCCGGATCGGAGTTGTAGTTTATTTTTGAGAGCGTGTGAAAGCAAGTGTGTCCGTTGATTTTTGAAAAATGGAAAAAGAGCAGTATCGATTCGATTCTTGTTTTTGGAAGGGAAATCGTGCAGCAAAATCAAAAAGCGCTTTAATGCTGTATATGGTGACTCTTCTCCTTCGATGGCGACCATAAAAAATTGGTTTAACGAGTTTCAACGTGGTCGTACGTCGATTTTTGAAGAGCCACGTCCAGGTGCTCCGAAAACGGCTACCACGGAGGATAACGTGACAAAAATTCACGATCTCGTATTGGCAGATCGACGATTGAAGGTGCGCGAGATAGCTAAGATCGTAGGCATCTCAAAAGACCGCGTGGGTCATGTCCTGCATGAAATTTTGGGCATGAGAAAGCTGTCGGCGCGATGGCTGCCGCGTTTGCTCACTCCGGACAACAAGCGCAACCGTGAGGCAACTTCAGAGCAATGTCTGACGCTGCTTAAACTCAATCCGGAGGAGTTTCTGCGTCGTTTCGTGACAGTCAACGAAACATGGATCCACTGGTATACACCAGAGACCAAGGAATAGTTGAAACAGTGGACTTTACCCGGCGAAAGTGCTCCGAAGAAGGCGAAGACTGCCCCATCGGCCGGAAAGGTGATGGCCACCGTTTTCTAGGGTTCACAAGGTGTGATCTACATCCACTACCTGGACAGGGGCAAAACGGTCACAGGGCTGTACTATGCCGAATTATTGGGCCGATTCGACGTCGAATTGCAGAAAAAACGGCCCCATTTGGCGAAGAAAAAAGTGCTCTTCCACCATAACAACGCACCGGCTCACACCTCCGCCGTCGCCATGGCCAAATTGGTCGAATTAGGCTACGAACTGCTGCCCCATGCACCATATTTTCCAGATTTAGCCCCGTGCGACTTCTTTTTGTTTCCAAACTTGTAACGGAATTATTTAAGCCGACTATTCAAGGGAATATTTTGCTCGCGGCCGTCCGCACAGTATTTATCAAAAGGAGGGCTCGGGAGGCACGAATGCTCCCACGACTGAATGGCACACCGAGCGTGTGTACCAATCGCGCACGAATTAAAGGACAGTTGGAAAACGAACGGGTTGACGCAGTAACATATGACACATGTATATATATATATATCAAAATTTATTAATACAATACAATAAAAGAAAGTAAAAAAAAAGAAACACAAATTAATAAGTAGACGGAGCATGCACGCTTCGTCTCACAAATCGGCAAAATTCGCTAATCCGCTTAATCCGCTCAATCGGATTATCGGCAATCACTGCCCGATAATTCGACTAAGCCTATTCGCTCGCGAACGCACCCGCGACCTCAAAACCCGGCAACGGGGGCCGGCATCACTGCCCGACCTGCACCGTTGCACCCGCGAACACCCCCGGACATGCAAGAGAGCGAGGGAAGGAGAGAGAGAGAGAAAAAACCGGCACCGACCTCGCCGACGGAGACTGCAACAAAGCTGGCCGCGCCCGGCCACCGGCTACCGCTCGCTACTGCTGCTACCGCTGCTACTCGCTGTTGTTGCTGTTGTTGACAACCGGCCGCTGCCACCCCTGGTTGCTGCCGCCGTCGACCGCTGTTGCCAACCGGCCGCTGCCACTCGCTGCTGCCGCTGCCGTCGGCTGTTCCCCAGCCGCTCGCCGAACGCGCGCGCGCCGGCGGTACGGGCTTCGCCGTTACCCGCGCACACCGGTGCTGGGCGGCAAGGCTTGGCTGGGCGCGACCCAGCAACTCACTCCACGCACGAGAAAAATTACCACCGATGCGCGCCCACACACCGGATGCGCATCCACAAACAAAACGACGACGAAGCACCGCACCGCTTCCAAAACCAACGAAAAATCAACCAAAATCGGCGACGAACGAAAACAACGCGCGCACGCGATCGGCCAGCCCAAACGATACTGCCGATTTTCCCCCCCGGCCGCGCACGCGTCGGATGCGTGCGTAGCCCGCGCTCTCTCCATCCCGCTCGCTCTCCCGCATGACGATCCTGGCAACGGATCGTCGCCTCGTCGGCCGCCTCCAGCTCCGCCAATGCCCATTCGCCGCACCTCAACCAGAGAAAATGTAGGCATGAGAGTGTATACAAATACACCCTCAGCCCGGGCGCAACGAACGGACGAGAGAGAGACAAAGTAGAAGCCGGCAAGCCGAAATTCTCCGTCACAAACTTGAAAAAGTCACTCGCCGGGCAGAAATTTGAGTCGAATGAGGAGGTAATCGCTGCCACGGAAGCCTACTTTTCAGACCTCGAGGAAACGTACTTTTCAGATGGGTTAAAGAAGTTGGAGCATCGCTGGGCCAAGTGTATCGAACTAAAAGGAGACTATGTTGAAAAATAAAACGCCACTTTTCCAAAATTTTCGTTTTTCTTTTGTAGTCTAAGTACTTATCGGACCACCCTCCTATTTGCGAAAAGTACAAAACGGAATCTTGAGTTAGAGCATTTTTTAGTTTTTATCAAGCTCTATCTGAATCACTGGTCAAAAAATTATTTTCGACAAAACCGACGGGCGCACGGGCATTTTTTCCGGCAAGTAAATTTTTTTAAACATTTGCTATCTCCGTAAATTCTAAAAATTCGAAAAAATGTGTAGGAGAAAAAATATTTGTTTTTGCAAGTAGAATACCGCGCACGTCTACATCAGATGAAAACATTGATAAAGTGAAGAAAATAGTATTGGCCAATCGTCGAATCACTGTTAGAGAAGTTTCTTAGGATCTAAACATATCGATTGGCTCATGCCATTCGATTTTAACCAATGATTTGGGCATGAGTTGGGTCGCCGCGACATTCATGCCAAAACTGCTCAATTTCGACCAAAAACAGCATCGCGTTCATATTGCTCAGGATATGTTGGACTTGGTCCGTGATGACCTAAATGTACTTCAAAGGATCATAAATGAGATAATGATGAGATCAGTGATGAATCATGGATTTATAGTTATGATATGGAAACCAAAGCTCAATCATCCCAATGGAAGCTGCCGCATGAGCCAAGACTGAAAAAAGCGCAACAAGTTCGGTCGAATGTGAAGATTTTGCTTACAGTTTTCTTCGATTACAGGGGCGTGGTGTATCATAAGTTCTTGCCACAGGGTAGTACGGCCAATAAGGAATATTACCTGCAAGTTATACGCAATTTGCGCGAAGCAATTCCCCAGAAATGTCCGGATTTGTGGAAAAACAAAAACTGACTTTTGCACCATGATAACGCCCCTGCTCACACATCGTTGCTTGTGCGCGAATTTTTGGCCAAAAACATCACAATAAAGGTGCCAGAGCTATCGTATTCCCCAGACCTGGCCACCTGTGACTGTATACTGTTCCCAAAACTGAAGAGGCCCATGAAAGGACGACGCTACGCCACGATTGGGGAGATAAAGATGGCATCGAAGAAGGAGCTGAACAAGATCACAATAAATGATTTTTTTAAGTGCTTCGAGGGTTGGAGAAAACGTTGGTATAAGTGCATTATATTCGAGGGGGATTACTTTGAAGGACATAGAATAGATATTTATTTATTTAAAGAAATAATTTTTGAAAATATAGAAAATTCGCGATACTTTTTGAACAGACCTCGTACATCGCCATCAACAGGAACATCCGTACACACAGCCATCGCAACAACAACAGCAACATTAATAGCCACAAGAGCAGCTTACAGGATAGCGATGGAGGGCAACAGATCTGAAGGACGAGGTCGGTGCTGCGATTCTCTCTCTCTCTCTCTCTCTCTCTCACACACACATGTTTCGGGTGTCATTGTTATGCGGGTAGAGTGGCAGACCTGCCAGCTACTTCGCCGCTACTACACCGACTGCGGCCGTTAACAAATTGTTATGGACGCATTACAATTGTGTTGCGGAGCGCGGGAGGAGTAGGGAAGGCGGATCGGCTGTCAATCCTGCTAACGATTCGTACTTCGTCGGGAGCGCGAAGAACTTATCATGTGCAGGCGCACCGACGGTGACATTGTTGTTACTATGTTATATTGTTTGTTTCTTTTGTTGATATATTTACTTGTTAAGTCTGTTATTGAATAAATTTGTTGCCTATTAACTTCTGTTCGTTGCTTCGCCAGATAATTCTTCATTCCGAAATGAGCAACGCTCATTTTGATCCGTTTTGGCTTGGCGGATCATTCAGTCGTGATAACGTTCGATTTTCCCGAATCCTCTCCTTTTAAATAATTTGTACGAACAGCCGCGTGCTACCTGAAAAGAGAACGGTCGCTAGGTATTTCGTTACAAATTTTAAATGTTTTTCATCATGATTTTTGCAAATTTTAGTTAATATGGGCAGTAGACTGATTGTACTGATTTTATGGGAAGTTATTTATTTAACTTTACATTTAGCAAAATTACAAAAAAAATAAAATATAATAAAGTTCAAAAAATGTTTATGATGTTTGGTGCGTTGCTATAAAAAGTTGTACTACGTTAGATATAGTATTCTAATAATCAACAGAACGCGTAGTCAAAATTTCTTACATGTGCTTGATAATTTAAAAAAAAAGAATTTATGTACAAGCA